CTTGTGTCGCTTGCTCAAAACACCCAATGGGCCGAGAGGAATTGTTTGCCCATGGTTTTCCCGAGTTCCCGGGCACCTTCGAAATCACGTCTTGAAGAGGAACCCACCACTTTTGCCCCCCCTCCCCACGCAACCACTGCTTTTGGGACTTGGGATTTGGGACATGGGACAAAGTCGGTGTGGGGGGGAGGGCGCAGGTTTTTTGTCCGTTTGGCTTCCCTGAACCAATCAAAGTCTCCACAACTCAGCTTCCCTCTAATTGGTGGTTTGGGTTGGTGGTTTGGTGGCTCCGGGGGCTTCCCAATTACCCTCCACAAAAACCCATGGATGCAAATCCCCAAACCACCAATCCAGACCACCAAGTAGGGGTTGCCGGTTACCAACCGGATCAAGTTTTCCGGCAACAACTCGAACGGCTTTCAGATCCGCACCAGGGCGCGCGGCTGGTAAACCCAAGGAAGCTGTGATCATATTTGAGTCACAATCAAAACCCGGTATTAAAATGGTTGACCCAGAACCATGCAAGGAAATACAAAGGCGGCCGCTAACCTTCATCTACCCGGGTTTTGTTTCTTTCTCATTTGTACCCTCTCACTCCGACGCAACGGCGGATTCACGACTCACCGTGGCAATTGTACCTCAGAACTAGTCGGTGGTTTCACCTGCTTCTCCTCTCACCCCCTCCAACCTTCTCCCGGTTTCTTCCAATAAGGCCTTAGCCTAGACTTGTTTTGGGCACAAGGAGGGGTGGCGGGTTCTTGGATTTGCATCCCCAAAAACCTTCCCAACAAAAACCAAGCACCAAGTCTCCCAGGCCTAGATGCACAAGCTCTTGCACATCCAACTCTAGGCCAATCATGAAGAGGAGGAATATGAGGCCCAGCTCACTCATCGCAGCGATCCTTGGCTTCGTGGCTCCCAAATTGCCAACACTTGATTCTTGTGTAATTTGTGGGATATACCCTCCCACCAATTAAGATGGCACCTGGCGGCTCCCTTAAAAGGAAAACGGTCCAAACCAGGACCCCGCAAAGTCAGGTTCCATGTGAGTTGATGGGAGTGTATACTATAGATCCCTCCAAACCCACCACTAAACCCGTCTTTTTGACGGTCTGCCGGTCGATCAAGGGCCGATCCGATCGCCCAGGCTCTCATGCTCGTCGATGATGAGGCGCAGCCCGATGGGGCCCACCAAAACTCCGCCGAGCAAGTAGCCCAAAATCAGGGGCTGCTGGATCAGGTGCATGAGGTATGCCAGGCAGCCGGCGGCCAAGGTGCCGTAGATGATGTTCCTCATCACCATCTGCCTAAACTCATGGGGGCTGGGGGGGAGGGGAGGGGGAGGGAGCCCAGATAAGGCCTTGTTAAGCCCTTAATAAGGCTTGATTTAGGGTCTTTTGGGGCTTCCTCCCCCCTCCCCTCCCTCCCCCCAGCCCCCATGATAAACCAAAGGAAACGAAAGGCGCAAGGCTGTGGCTCAGATTGCGAACAAAGTTGAGATCAGAATGCGCATTGCCCTGCGGCACATGAAATCTCGGTTGCCTTCTTCTCCCCTGCAAAATGTCTTTAACTTTAGTGGTTTAATACGGAAAACCCACTAGTTGGCAAGAAAAGTTATAAAGTCCTAGCATCCCTTGGCAAAATGCAAGGACATATGATACATACCTAAAAATTATGCATACGTTGAGAAAAAGGTGCGGTTTGCTTTTGTTTCTTATGCAAGGATCCTTACATTATACACCTGGGTTGAAAAAACCGTCAGTATCGTTTTTTCCTCTGCATCGGTTTGCAGTGTTTTGGCAGCTCTAGCTCGAAAGTCGTGACTTTCCGTACAAGTGTAGTCTGCGAAGTACACTCTGCCAGCTCCCAGCTCCAGCTGGAAAGTCGCAACTTTTCAGTACAAGTGTAGTACGCAAAGTACACTTTGGCAGCTCCAGCTGGAAAGTCGCAACTTTTCAGTAGTATGCGCAGTAGACTTTGGCAGCTCCGGCTTGAAAATCGCAGCTTTCCAGTGCAAGTAAGGTTTTCAGTACAAATGTGGTACACAAAGTGCATTTTGGCAGCTCCAGGGCAGGCTGCAGGGCAGCTGGTTGGATTCTGCGTGGCGGCCACTGAGTTGGGTATCGGTTGGGTATCGGTTTGGGTATCGGTTTGGGCCCTGCAAATTTATGATTCCGCGATCTTGGCTTGCGACGACAACTTGGACCTGATGTGTGTCTTCATGGCTTCTGGGGGTATCGGTTTTTGTTCCTCTGTATCGGTTTACAATGCTTTTGGCCTGCGAAACAAGTTAAGGGACGGCCCCTTACATAACGAAATGGCGCGGGGTATTTTTTTCAGCCCACCTGAACATTGCAACTTGTAAATGCTGGTTTCAACCTTTATTTTGGTGTTGAAAAAGAAACATGTTTCAAATGGTTGCAAAAGGTATCTTATAAGGAGCCCTGTTATGTTTCCTCGTTGTGGGGCAAAGAAAAGTACCTGGAGTCTCCTTCTGACCCTTACAAAATGGCTGGTCATTACCCAAAATAAAGGTTGGTCATGGACCCATTTTTCAAGGGTCATGGAGACTCCAGCTAGAAGCTTCTTCCTCTAAAGTGGTATTCCCAACGTTCGGGAACTTGCGGCGGAGAACATCGCGCAAGTTTTTTCTCCTCTGAGAAAGTTGTGGGGCAACAGATCCTGTGAACAGATCCTTCCCGCCTGCCCTGCTTGATGTGCAGCGCATGGTGGCCCTCGCCCTTGGGGTCGATCAAAGGCGAGGGGATGACGAAGATCAGCACCAGCAGAGCCACCGCCAACCTGGAAAAAAATAAAGAAAATGAATTGCCAGTAGTGAACTCGCAGCCCTTCGAAACCAACAGAGGAAAATAAAAACCAAAAACTATTCAGACTATTCATTTCAGCAAATGGAAGCAACCCGTAGATCACCAGCTGCAGAAACTTCGAGACGGCGCTCTGAGGCCGCTCGTCTCGGCCCTCTTGGGCCTGGCTCGCTACGTGCGGGAAGCTGCGGCTTGGAAGAGGACACCAACTGCTCCAAATGGCCATGGGTCGAAATCCAAATCATACCCCCAGTGAACATCCGATTCAATCCAACCACTAAAATAGGTCCTAAAATGGGTGGTGCACCTAGCCCAAAGTGGTACCATTGGCTTTGACCCACGGCCAACTGGCTCGTCTTCCCTGGTGTTTTCTGTACATCAACCCAAAGGGGCCCTGAACAGGGCTGCCTTCTCGGAGCAACCTGGTTCCAATTGGAATCATGTTGTGCTCCTGTAGACGTGCCCCCCAACCCCGGATCGCTTTCAAACTACCACCCTGAGCTATGTATGTACACATGATGTATAGTATGCCTATGCCATATGAAAATGTGATAATTATTTTGCATATGCAGTACGCAACGATTTCATGGCATTTCATCTCTAATGAACACGCATCCCCAAAGGCAGCAAATAGCAGACACTCATCCGATGGTCCGGCTCGCCACCAGGAACAGAAAGAAAACCAAGCCAACGGGAGTTTTGAGCAAGAAACAATACAACAAGCGCGTTTGAAAAACAACCGCCGCACAATTGCTAGGAAATAATCTTTGAACCGAGCTGGACAGTTGCGCAAGTGCAATGAAAATGTAGAACATGAGCAGAACGAGGTACTTGACCAGATTGATGCTACACGCCTCCAAGGGTTAACTCACATGCAAGTGTGGCACTGATGAACACTCTTTGCCAAATACGCGGCCACCACGCAACTTCATACACCTCCAGCTGATAATTTGTTGGACAAACGGTAGAACCGTCAATAGACCCACTCGTGCATCACCCTCCACCATCAAAAAGGGGGCACCACCAAACAATACGCCATAGGGGGATCCTGAAAAGTGGCCTTGAACAAAGGGCACCTTTTATTTCTGCTTGCTTTCAATGGGCACCCTGCCCCATTGAAAGGGAAAAGGAACCCACGAGCTGAGGTGAGTCATAATCAAAACTCGGTACTAAAATGGTCGACCCAGAACCATGTAAAGAATTAAGAAGCCGGATATCCGCCGCTGTTTATGGCAAGGGATGCAAGGGGATTGTCCCTTACTAACCTTCCCAAATCGGCGAATCGGGTGACGGATCCATCGATCGCTCCTCCGGCGGCTCGGTGGCGCCATAGCTGGACTCAAGGTCCATGGCGGCTTCATTGCTTGGGCCCAGCCGGGACTTGCGACCGGAAGAAAAGAGCGGCGCGAGCGATTCCACGCGGCTTTCTGGCCCCCTTCGGAGAGATCACATGGGGCGCCCCAGGAAAAGGCGCAAGGAGTTGTCCAAAAATGTGGCTTCCCGGAGTTTCCCGGATTAGACCCCACAAAAGGGGGGTACCGACTGCAGAAAAGACAGACCCAGCACTGGAATAGAAAAACCGGAGTTCTCCAAAGCCCGCAAGCTGGGGTCTCCACCAAACTGAGGTCCGATGGTTTCGAAACTGGCCATCTGTTGGAGGTTTGGGGCAACGGAAGTTCCCAAAAGGTTGTTCCCCATATGCAATCAGGATTGAGGTACCTCACACACGCACACACAAACTTCAGCTCTGGGTATCACTTAAGGATGCAGGTGCTACCCCCCTCGGCTTTCAACTAAGGAAAGAGTTCCGAAGGATGCTGAAAAGGGAATCTCATTTGCCAAATGCGGAGTTTCTGGTAGGGACCTTGTTCTCTTGGGGAACCAGCACGAGATTGCATTTGTCTGAACAATGGAAGCTGAAGATCGGAGGGTCTTGGAAGACTTTGCAAAAGAGTGTACTTTGGTGAAGACATGGACACGCCAAAGACTCCAAACAGCCCAAACAGCCCAAACACCCCAACCCCCCCAAACAGCCCAAACCAGGGTTCCGATTTTTGACTACCAAGGTTGACTTAAACCCAGGGGAGATTGACCACCCCTGGGTTCAAGTCGTCTTTGGGGTAGTCAAAAAATGGAACCCTGGCCCGAACAGCCCAACACACTCCCAAGCTCCGCCTGGCCGTGTTTTGATCGGCCGGCCGGAGGTGAGCTCGTCCAAGAGATCGAGGACCAACCTCTGGGCCTTGCGCACGTTCAAGACATCGCCTCAAGCTGCGAACCGGGGAACTCGTAGGGAGGAAATGGGGGGTGTCCCTTGCTAGACCCATGATTCATACTGTGGATGGACAAAATCCTGCACCACCTAGGAGACCTTGGAATGATCAATCCCCTGTAAGTACCAGCAAATGGTTTCCCATGGTATCAAAGTGGTGCAGGATTTTGTCCATCCACAGTATAGGGGAGATGATCCGTCTTGGACCCAGGATGAATCATGGGGCGGCAATACCAGGTGTGCCATTTCAGACCTAGGATTCATCATACATAGGCCTTCTCACAAGAGGTGGCCAATTCTAGCCGACGAAACAGCGTGCCATCTACCAAAAGGCAGTCGGCCCCATCTGAGCAACTTGTTTGCTTCCGAAACCGGAAGAAATGAACCCCCTGTATTTCCAGGGTTTTCACATTGGGTAAGCTCCTCTATCTCCAACATGGGCCAGCGTTACATCCCGGCTCTGGTGCTGCGCGACTGGGGTCCACACCGTTGATTCTCAGGCGCATAAACTCCTCCTGCGGCGGCTGCTTGAACCTGCCAAACTCAACTGGGTCCTCCAGTAGAGAGGTTAGAACAAGGTACCCTGTTTTTCTGTAGTCTGTTCTAGTAGGGGAACCCTCCCCAAAAAACGTTACGGCAAAAGGGCACTACTGGGGGACCAAGACAAACGAGTCGGGAAGGAAGCAACCATATTTTCCTGTTTATCGTACCCCGTGGTGAAATCCCAACTATCGTGCGCTACTTGAAAATCCATGAGACACGATATCAGCTACGTAGGTGTGTCTGTGTCAAAGGCAAGCATTGCCGCTTTCGGGGCTTAACCCCACCCTTTCACGAGCCAGCTCGTTCACCGTTGGTGACCCCTAAGAATGAGGGCACCGAACATGGGGAGAGAACCAAAGGTCAGCTGAAACCTGAGTTTTTCAAGAGCCCCTCAAAAAGCCGCTCATGTTACAAGGAGGGTCTTGCTTTTGGCAGCCCGGAAATCCAGCCACCAAACACGACGTTGCAACGTCCCAACGGCCCAACTGTCAGTGAACACGCAGTGGAATCGAGAAGTGGATCACCGCTGCTTTACTTGGAGCTCCTTCTGTAAAGCGCCTCAAAAGTGCAAGTTTGGGATGTTTCGATTTGTTTAAGTTTGCGGAAAAAAAAATATATATATATATATATATATATATATGTCCAGGAGTGGTAGACTCCTTTAAAACCACCAGGAGGCAACAAAACATATTCTTAGGCAAATGGAAGTAGGGTTGACATCATATGAAACAGAATCTGAACATATTGTTTCCCGTATCCCAAGTGTGGGGTTCGACGGAGCTGCCCCGAGCTACTTTCGGAGCTTCGAAGACTTGGGGAACGAAAATGATGAAGAAACATGCCAAGCAAGAGTCAACCAGCACTTTTGAGCTGGCCCAAAAAAACTAAAGTTCCAAACAAGCTGGCCTAAATCCCGATTAAGAACGCCAACCCCGCAAGCTTCCATTTGGCTTGGACCCCTGGAAAAATTAAAATATGTCCAGTAGTGATAGGTTCCCCTTAAAACCAACAGGGGAAAAAATATTCTTAAGCAAACGGAAGATTAAGAATGCCAACCCCAAGTAAAAACGGCTCTGGTGGGTAACCGCCGTTTCAATCAAAAACTCGATCTGCCCAATGGCATCCCCCAAACTGGGTGGTTCTCTCAAACAGCTTCCCTGTTTGAATACCACTAACCACACACAGACACGCAAACACGGACACACACACACACACACACACACTCACATACACACATACACCAAACCCCCCTCCAAAACATGAGGAGGAACAATCACAGCTTAGAGAATCATCAACCACTCCAGCCAGTTCTGTGGGGTAGCAAGCCTTGGCACCTCATCACCTCCATGGACTCCTTCGAAGGAACCCGGCCTGTTGAACGCCTTCTGCCTGATGTCCTCCATGGTGGCCATGCGGAAGCTGACTCGAGGATGGCCTTCCAGGCCAGAGGCGGCCCTCTGCGCGTCGGAGACGTCCTGGAAGACACAGACGAGGTCGGTCTCACTCACGTTGTCCTCAGCCCGGCCACAAATTTTGGCGGTGGGTCAGAACCAAAGATACCATTTTGGGGTAGGTGCGACCACCCATTGTAGTCTATTTTAGCTCGGCCCGCAACCCCCCGCCTCAAACTAGCGGAAAGATCAAGAACCCAGCGCATGTGTGCACCCCAAATGGCTGTGGTGGTCAAAACCGTTTTGGGAAATCCCATTTTGGGTAGGTGAATTCACCACCCATTCTAGAACCTATTTTGGTGGCTTTTGGGATGTTCACTGGGGGTTCGGGATTTTGACCCATGGCCATTTGGCGGAAGTCAACCACACCACTTCGCCTCTTCTTTGGTCATAAGTTGGCTCGAAACACCCATGAAGCTCAGGTCGACCCGGGTGCATCAAACCGAATCTCATTCATGACCGCAGTTGGGTGAAGCGAGACGCTCCAATGCGGAAGCCAGCTTCAGCCAAGGAACCAGAGTCACAGGCTCCGGCAGCGATTTCGACTTGAAGACCTGCGTACGTCCGAACATGGAGAGGCCGTCAAAAGCGGGTGGTCCGCTATGGACCGCTCTTGGGTTGCTTTTCAACAACCTTGCGCCCAATATCATCGGAATATGGCCTTGCGCCCAATCCAGCCTGTAAGATTCTAAACAGCGAAAGCTTGATGAAGGAGCTATTTTCCCAATCCTCCCAAATGCTACACCATGATTGCAACATGTGAACCATGTCACCATCACGGCAAAAAAACCACCATCAATCTTGTTATCTCTGCAATCTTCCAGCTTCACACACTGCCAAACCGGCGGGCCACTTTTGTTACAATGCTTGCCATAGGTGTCCTAAAATGGCCCTGGTAGAGGAGAAAAAACCACCAGGTAAACCAGGAATCGAAACCCATCGATTTTTCGACCAAAACAACAAAAAAGGACCCCTATGATGGTTGTCTAAGTTCTTCAGAAAGGAGTTCATGACTCCATGTCCATACGAAGCCCAAAGCGTGTTCTTTGACCATGGCGCACAACGAAGCGAATTGCCGTCGCGGGGCGTCCGTGGTGCGCTTGCTAATTACGCTTGACAGAAATACATGGCTTTGTTACTCTGAGACAGGCGTCACCTATCCATGACACAAACATGGACAGCGTTCAATTTCCATGCCGGCATCAGCCGCTTGCAGCCATTCTTGCGCATGAGCAAACCTTCAAACCCTCAAGTGCCAGCGATAACGGCCAGCAATGAACACCATGCAGCTGCGCCAAGGCGTGCATCACCACTTCTCCAAGCCGAGCGGAAACTCAGTTGTTCAGTGACAATGGAAAAAAAGGGAACCCTTTTTGGGGAAGACCATTTTTAGTGGGGCAGCCACAAAAAAGAAATGGAAATAGAATCGGTGCCACTGAACAACTGAGGAAAGTGACACGCGAAACACCTGGCCTCCGACAATTGCCTCTTGGAGAGGCCATCCGCGCAGGAAATGAAAATGGCATCCTTCCTGCTCGGCAACCAAAGTACCCGGTGCCCTCCCACTAACAAATCGCAGCTCTGGGAAGATACCTGGAAGGTCAGTTTCCTCTTGGAGGGACAATTTCCCTGTCAGGTGGCATGGCAACGTGGAAGGGAGACAAGAAAACAAGTGTCAAATCATGCCAGGTGGGCCTGTCTCAACCCCAAAAACACATCTGGTTTCCTTTTTCGTTGCCCTTCAAATCAACCCCCTGCATCAAACTAGCAGAAATTCAAGAACCCAGCGCACGCTTTGAACCCAAAACACGGATTTGGACCGGACTAAATGGCTTCGGCTTTCCTTTGGACGTCCCCACCCTCCATTAAGACGACACCCTACCAACTGCAGGCTTCTCAAATGGATCCCTGTTGCATCGCTTGTCAAGGGAATCTGCAAGGAACCGATCGCCATTCGGGTGCTCACCTTTCAGAAGGCATTTCAAAGACGCTGCGAGCATAGGTGTCCTTTTAGGTTGGAAATAGATGGGGTTCCCTGGTAGATGAGAAAAAACCACCAGGTAAACCAGGAATCGAACCCATCTATTCTAGCAAAACCACCTACAAAGGACACCTGCTACGAGTCCGCCAGCGCCTGGTGGCAACTTTGGCCTTGGTGTTCTTGCGCTCCTGGCCGTAGCGGAAGCAGACCGGCATCAAACAAAAAAAAGCGCAGGTCCGAGCGAGCGGATTGGTCCAAGCAAAGGCTTTGTGAAAAAGGGGTCTTCCCGAAACTGGGCTGCCGGTTGTCTGATCCGCTACAAGTGACTGACTTTTAGTGGGATAAATGGAAACTACCACTAAACACTAAAAGGCTAAAAAGGCTAAGGAACCGGATGGCTGGGAGCCACCAAGGAAAGGCAAACATGAAGTTCAGGAGCTCAGCAAGTTATTGTAGTGTCGCCAATAGCGCTATCCGCAAACACATGGGCATGTGTCAAAACCCAAATCGTACCCCCAGTGAACATCCCAATCCAAGCACCAAAATGGTACCTAAAATGGGTGGTGAATTCACCTATCCCGGATCCCATTGGTTAATCATCATGACACCCGCCTGAACCTCAGGGATTTTTGTTTCACATCGCCACATGTGGGTCAAAAATAAACCACCAGGAATTGGACCACAGGTTTTAGTCCTTGGTTCCATTTACCAGGGGTCCATGTGGGGTACCCATTTTTGACCCACAGCCACATGAAGCTGCACTTGTTGTCTCCAACTCTCTAAGGGCTTCGCCGCTCCTAACATCGCAGAAAAGGTGCCACCGCTGGCCATTGCGCGGCTCTCGTAGCGGACTATATAACCCCCTACACATAATTTTGTTTTGAAGATGCATTGGTATTTTGTGTTGATTGCCTTTTGTTTTTTTTCCAAATTTCTAAGACTAGCGTAGATCGCAAACATATCTTACAATGGAGGAGATGTTTTAGATGACATGTCTACAAGATCTAGATTTTGTTCCTTTGCTAAGTGGATGGCCAGAATATCCGTGGACCGCCCAAAACCGATACCCAGCTTGCAAAAGCCAAGCAAGGGCTGCCCACAACCGATGCCCCGCTTCTTGTTGTTTTTGTCCGTTGCTCACATGTCTTCTCGAAGTCACGGATAGCTATGCAAGCTCTCACTTTCAAGCAAACAAGGGGACAACAATACCAGGAGACCAACAGCAAGTCTCAACATTCTCAACGAAAACAGCTGCCCCTTCAACATCCACAAGTATCAACATGGCTGTGGCTCAAAAAGTGTACCCAAATCGTCCCTTGGTATATGGAACTAAAGGCTAAACCCTGCGCTTTGCCCTAGCTGTTGAATGTTGAGCCACACCCACATTTGGGAGGTCCCCTAAAAGAAGAGAAACCCATCCATTCGAAGCCTGAAAAGTTCCCCAGTAAATTGAGTCCCTTGGTTGCTGTCGACCCCTCTGCAAAAAGGTTCTCACTTTTTGCTTTGTGTTTGTTAGAAAAAACCCTTGATTTCAACCAACAACTTAAAGTCTAAAGATCCAACCCAATAGCAGTAAAGTGTTTGCATCGATTGCCAGGGAAGCTGCAAGGGAAACGATCGCCATTCGGGTGGTTTTCTAGAAAGAAGGATCGCTGGGTTAAGAATGGAAATGGAAGTTAGCCCCAGTATGGGGAAGTTACCCCTAGAATCAGGAGCTTCTTCTGCCCACCAAATCGGCCTCATCTTCCGGCTTGGCAGCGGGTCCCTCCTGGCACCGCCGGACTAGGTGTCAAAATCCCGTACCCCCAGTGAACATCCCAATCCCCACTCAAATAGACTAAAATGGGTGGTGCACCTACCCCAAAATGGTACCACTGGTTTTGACCCACAGCCAGGTAGATGATGAAAATACCAGGTAAACCAGGAATCGCCCTCTATTTTCTACCTGACCAACCAAAAAGGAGACCTATGCTCTCCTGGCCTAGGGAAAACGAAACAGGAAGAGGACCCCAACTGCGTCTCTTCTGGTGGTGATCTGCAAGTGGTGGTTAAAACTGCACGAAAGTGACCCAGCGAACCCCAGCGAAACCCGACCAGCACTTCTGTGATACAACAAAAAGGGCAAGCCCCCAAGACTAACACCCCATATAACGGGGGAGATTCCCAAAAGTATCACAGAAGTGGTTGGAGAAACCTCGAGTGATCAACCACAACCCTGCTATAGAAGAACCCATCCGACTTCTTCTCTTGCTGCTATCCGAAGCTCGCAAGTTCTTCTATGGTCGCCAGGAGCTGCGACCGAGATGTTCGAGCCAAGAGTAGGACAGCCTCACATGCTGCAGGCTGCAAGGGTTTGGAATCCCTGGAGACTTGGTTGCTGCAACGACCCCCCTGCGAACAGTTGACAACTGTTTGGGGGTTTGGTGGGAAACGCCTTTATTTCAACCAAAAAGTTATAAAGTCTAAAGATCCAACCCAAGAGCAGTCAAGAAAAGGTCCCACTTCCATCGCAACCAACACGCGTAAACAAAACGCCAGCGGCAAGGGTTTCCCAACCACCATGCCGTCCGATGCAACGACCCGTCCTCGGCATCTTTGGGAGTCTCCTTCGGGCTTCGGCCACCCGGCTTCAAATCACCTCCTGTTGGTTTCCCTGGAAAATTGGCTGTGGGTCAAAAGCCAAATCGTACCCCTGGTGCACATCAAAAAATTGGTGGCAAATGGATGTTCATCCGCCCCAAAATGGCTCGCCATAGGTAATGCAACCCATGGCCAATGAAGCGCCGACTTTAAGCTAACCAGGCGGGTGTTTTAAGTGGGGCCGCCGGGGACAGTAATTAGGTTTTGCGACTATCAACCAATGAGGCTGTGCCGATTGATATTTGTAGCCATGTGTGCCATGTTCAAAAAGCCTAATATGGCCTATGACATGCTTCCCTCAATGGGAATGATTGTATCAAGGATCCTTACCAGGTAAATAACCATTTCAGTCCAGTAAACTTCCAGTACAGGAACCGGTGTTTTCACCCTGCCACATTTGGTTGTGCGAACTTTCATCGACCCTTTACATCAACTCATTTCTGAGTATTCTTTTGCGTCCTAAGCATTTGGGGGGCTTGAGTTCTTCGGATTGCCATGAATAGCTTTTTACGTCCACCTTGATAAGCACTTGGGCGGCTTGCGTTCGGTGCCATTGGAACCAACCCCCGAGTGTGACTGGCCTCTTTGGGCGCCTCTTTGGCATAAGTCTCCGAGGTCAGGATGTACCGCACGCGAATGGGGAAGTGCCGATACCGCAGGCCCCGCTCGATGTCCACGGCCTTGCCCTCGCAAAATTGGTCGATCCGTACGGCGCCCCAAACAAAGGGGCTGTTGTTGTCCTTTTTGGTTGGCCTTCCAAAACTAAAAACCTGTACCAGGTATACCATAAGCTCTCCAATACTTGGTTACGCTCTCCACCCGGGGCCGACAAATGCCGAGCCGACATGGGTACAGAAAATGACGCTCCCACATTGTCACATGCTGTTTATCCCTCGAAGACGGTTTTCACTACCCCCCCCCCACACAGGTAGTGCACACGCCTTCAATGAGATATACAGCCACAGCAGAGCCCCTGGCCACTGTGACAAGGTGGAACTCATCTTAGATTCCCCACGGCATGGGGAAGCGCCCCAAACAAAATAGTACGGTTGGGCTTCCCAGGAATCCGATCGGATCAGGGGTATCGGAACCTTGTGAGTCCTGTCATGATCTGGCATTCCGCAGAAATGATCGCTGCGTTTTGGTTTAGGCCCCGAAGAAACGCGAGTCTCTCTTCCAAGCGATCCAGGCGTCACATCAACAACAAGGATTCCAACTCGAAGCTCCTGGACCAAATCGAGGTGTGCATTTGGGTCTGTCTTGCTGAAAAAAATACCCTCTTGTTGGGAGGATTTAAAGGGAAGCCAAAAGGACAAAACGCATTTGGGGGGGTCACAAAAAAATCGACCGACCCATTTGCGACCCGATCGAGTCGCTTCTTTGTCCGTGATGGACAAGTTCTCGGGGTAGACCAGTGATACACCGGCTTCGCCCATCTTCCGGTACAATAGCCTCCGTGCGTGCTCTACTGTAGATCAGGGTTTTTTAGGTGGTGCGAAATGGATTTCGTCCATCCACAGTATGGCCACCTTCGACCATGGATCTAACCTCTTCATCCTGACACGCGTCAAATCGCGTCAATGGGAAGCAAAGGTCCCGAGCCTCAACACGCCGACTGTCCCAAGACAATGTTCCTTTCAACCCGGCCCAGGGGGTCTATGGGACTTGGTCGACTAAACCGCCGGTACGAGCGCAGCGCGACTGTGTGCCATACAATACTCGCCCAGCCCAGCCCGAAAAAAAGGGAAGCTCTGTGTGTGTCTCAGGGTGCTGGTGCTTGGTCTCACGCGATGTCTCCAGGCTTGATGGGCTTTGCGGTTTAGCCGGTTTAGCATGAGGAAAGCCAGCTTGTTCAAAAGTGCCGAGTTCGAACTCAACTTGGCAGTTTGTGTGATTTTGCTTCAGGTTGCTGTTATGCGTCTGTGGATTGGCATTGGGTGTTGGTCTTTGGGGGAGGTTATCTACAAGCGTAAGTTGTTTCGCTCCAGCACGAAGAACTGGATTCTGTCTTTCAAAACAGGCCGGTTCTAATTGTATTCGATTTTCTTTCCTCAGCCTTGTCTCTCCAAAACCATACCAAAAGTGACACTGACGGGGACGCCCCAAGAAAACAAGCAAGAGAAACAAGGGAGACCCTTACCGCGACCTACCATGCAAGACTAAAAAGAAGAAGGGAAAAACCAAATCATAATAATGATATAAAAACCATAATAATCTTTAATAATCTTTAATAATAACAATAATAATAATAATATTTAATAATAATAACAAAAGCCCTGCCGCCCTTCCGATCCTTGCCGCGGGGCTCATCCCAGTTCTCGAGGCTATACGCCACAAACTCCACGGCCGACACGAAGCTCCTGCGCGTGCGCTGGCCGTCGACGTTTTGCGGGGCTCCAGGCCCCAAAAACCAACCAGCTGGCGGCCAAAGGGCGGTCAAAAATGGGAAATGACACCCCACAAGCGCTTGCCCATGGGAAATGGAACGGACCAAAACCCTGTCCCTGGTGGTTGAATTTTGACCTATAGCCAAATAATGCTGGCCGAAGGCAGGGGAGATACCGCTTCAAAGACATTTCATGGAGGAAACAAAAGGAGGTTTTAGCCGGCGAATACATAGACCACGTAAATTGCGTTCGAGATTTGGAGGCACCATCTGCATCTCACATCTGGGTCCTCACGCAAGCTGACGACCCGTCGGTGGGTCTTCAGCAACCATGCTGTGAAACATGGCCGCTCAAGCGAGAGGCACTCTCTCAGGAAAAGAATCAAAGTCCGCCACATTTATCTCCACAAAATGCGGTGCTTATATAAGCGGGAGTACCCAAACGTATAGGGATCTACAGTTTCTTTTGCGACAGTTTCAGATGTTTCCAGGTTGACTGCTAGGTTTACCTTCTGGTCCCCCGTGGGCACGATCAATCATCTTCCCTCCACTTGGTGGTTTGGATTCTAGTTTGGCGGATGAGGTCGAGTGTCCCATTTACCCTGCACAAAAGCCAGGGGTTCAAACCCCCAACCACCAATCCAACAATTCAGGATTACCTGAATCAAGAAGGCCCCTGGAAGTGCAGGAACCCTGTTGGCCAACTGGAAGGTTTCGCCAAAACCAAAGGGCCGACCCTTCTCTCCCCCCAAAAAACAAAACGTTCAAGAACCGAGGGTCAACCTGAATGTGCCATTTTTAGGCCACTCCCCCCCCCCAAAAAAAAGGGCTTTGGATCCCTTTCGGTTTTCCCTTTAAGAAAGGACCACCCACAAACAACGGTCCCTTCTCAACAAAAGAAAAACAAACGGGTTTGCCACCCCCAAAAAAGAAGACACATACACGAGGCGCAATGGGGCTTGCCACCACCCCACCCCTCCCCCCCCCTCCCACCCCTCCCACCGTGACTCCCACCGTGACTCCCACCCCTCCCACCGTGACTCCCACCCCTCCCACCCCTCCCACCCCTCCCACCCCTCCCACCCCTCCCCCCGATGCCCCCGATGCGCCTGCGGGCGGGCAGGGCCTCCGCCGCGCCGTCGCCGGCCTTGGCCTCCTGGAGGAAGGCCGCCAGATCGCCCGCCGCCTCTTGCACCTGCTCGAAGCCGCGAAAAAGCAAAACTACGGAGAAAAGCAAAAACAAAAGCAAAATCAACGAAAAACAAAGAAAAACGAAAAAGAGGAATTCGCTGCTTTTGGTGGGATGAGATTCGAGAAAGCGAAAGCTCCAAGAGCCCAGTTTACGGAAAGAAGACACAGGAATTCTGTGCTTTTGGTGGGAAGAGGGTCGAGAAATGCAAGCTCCAAGAAACCAGCTACGGAAGTAGAATAAACAGGAATCCTATATTTTGTTTTCTGGCGGGAATTTGGCCAAGTTCGACTCTAGAATGTGCTGCCAGTTTCTGGGGAAAGCGGGATTCCCAAAAACTGGTTGGGATGCGTCGAAAATAACTTGGGATTTCCAAAAGAGGTGTCCGGCTCGCGTGATGGCAAAGTGGGCTGTCGGAAACGTGGCCACAGGGTTGGGCCAAGTCCTTACGCGGTAAGCTACACGCATTGAATCCAAGTAACTTGTTTGTGGAACCAAAACAGAGTGTTAAAACATATTTGCATGGGTGTGGCTCGAAAATAGGGTCCAACATGGAGCTCTAGCAAATGGAAAGGGTAGACTAAAACCCGCGTATCCCCAGCTGTTTAATTTTGAGCCACACCCATATCGAAACAACCCCCTCTTGGCTCCCCTTGAGAAGACCCAAAAGGTGTCTGGACGATTGAACCATTCGGCAGGCAGGGCCTCGCCATTTCGCAATCCCATCGCCCTGACTTGGGTTGAACCAACCAACTTCCGTAAGCTGATATGACAAGGATGAAATACTGTGGATGGTTGCGAAATCCGTTCGCACCACGAACGGAAACCGTGGTTGAAACCATAACGCTGATTGGAATTTACGTTGGGGAATCACTCTTCCAGGGTTGTTTAGGTATGTTTAGGTGGTGCGAAATGGATTTCGTCCATCCACAGTATGTTACAACTGGGAAAGGGTCAGTGGACTTGACCACGGTTGCAATCTGCAACAAGGGAACCAACTTTTTTCTGTCGTCTATTTTAGTAGGGGAACCCTCCCAACCAAAAAAGGGGTTAAGATGGGCACTTAGCTGGGGGACCTAGTACACGGGTGAAATATGTTATAGCTGGGAAGGGGTTTAGTTACGACTTGACTCCATGGTTGCAATCTGCACACAAAGGAAAGCTGAACATGCAAGATTCTAGGGGTAACTTCCATTTCCATTCTTTCCAGGGATCCTTCCTTCTAAACAAGCACCAAAAACCCTGGTTGGAAATGGCGATGGGTTTTCTTGAAAGGAACGATGGCTGAAAAGAATGGACAAGGAATCAATCCCTAGAAAGATGCTCCATCCGCTCCTCGCCCTCCTCCTCTGGCTCCATCTGCTGTGGCGATCGGTTGGCCTCTTCGAGCGATCGAGTCTCGGTGCTTCGGCGCGGCGCCGGAGCGAGCACCGCTGCGGGGGGGGGGGGGGGGGAGGCTCGATAACGTTTCTTGCAGAAAAAAGCTGAAAGGCGAAAACTAGCTCAGAGAAACCCTTTGATGCGGAACCCAGCATTTGAACGAAACATGATGGTTCAACTGCTTTGGTGCAAACGGACTGATACCCCTTTGTCGACACATTCGCTGCGCAATAGCGACGTATCCTTTCATGCAAGCTGACAGGCGATTTGAAGACTCCTGCCACCTTAACATGCCTTTTCATCCACGTCCATTCTTTGGATATCCGATATCTCGAAGTGCGGAAAAAAAAACGCACTAACAAGGGACGTCGGGCTGGCATCAAAGCTGTCGTCTAGATTCCTGCTTGTTGGAAAGCCAAAAACCTGCCCCCGCACACACGCACCGACGCACCCACGCACAAATGCACGCCCGCACGCCCGCACGCCCGCATGCCCGCACTCCCACTTGTGCACACATGCGCGGTTTGCTTCTTTCAGCGGGACCAGGGTGGGTTGCAATACTGACTCACGTGCATACCCAAAAGCCCATACGAAGGCACGGTGAGAACGATCCGAGGTTGCGGGTTCCTTCGAGGAGACTCAGCACCAGGGTTGGGCCGGCCTTTGCTTCATGGTTTACACCACCAAGCTACATATACAGATACAGATATGTATATATATATATACATATATATATATATATATATATATATCGGACAAAACAGTCGATTAAGTCTTCATTTGAACCGGCACCAACCCCATTTGGTTGTGGGTCAAAAACAGGTACCCAAAATGGGACCCAGGTAAATGGAACTAAGGACTAAAATTCGCAGTTTTGTGGTGTAATTTTGACCCATACCCATATAGTCAGGAACCCCTTTTTGGAGAGCCAGGAGATGAAACCACACGCAAGGGTCTACCCTCCCCAGGCGATTTCATGGAAGCTCCCAGGACCCATTTAAGACTGGGTTCCATTCACAAAGGCCTTCCGGACGTATAGTCGGAGGTGGACGGAAGGCCCTCGCCTGCGCTTCTTCCAGGAAGGCGCGCAGGTCATCCGCGCTCTCCTGAGGCTCCTGGAGTCGTTTTCCACGGCCAAAGCCGATTTGTTTGTTCGTTGGAGCTTTGGTGGACATCAAATTCAGTATTATTTTTGGGTGTGGCTCCAAATTCAAGGGCCAGGGCATCATGCCTAAAGGACGTCATGCCTGAAGGTGGCATCGAGCGGTGCAATCAAATTTTGCTGGCTGTGCGACATCCATGGGTCATGATCACAATCTTATGAGTGCACTAGCCCATTCAAAGGGAAACGGAAGCCAGGCGGAAGCACGTGAGCTTGATGAACCCATCAACAAATCGAACTTTCCTCTCCATGGATAAAGCACATGCTTAACATATTGTTTTCCTGGCACCTTGCATGTAACTGGGCTAAGTGTCTGCTGCGTGCTCATATGTGTTCAGGATTCAGGTAAACGACCATTGTCATCTCTGATTACAGCAAGAGACAGCCATTGCCGCTTCGTTGGAAGTACACTTAAGACACCTCTGCCTGGCCCTTTCACAAATACAAGGAAGAACAATTCAAGGGCTTCCAGTTACCACTGTAGGTAACCTGTAACACCTAGAGGTCAAGTGGGCGTGTCTGTTTTTGAGTTGTCACCCTTTTTTGGTGATTTCAAAGGGAAACCAACAGGAACACCACCATTTTGGAGGACCCCTAAAAATAGGCCACACAAATTCTTGGTCACCTACGATAGTGGAACTGGAAGCTCTGGCCATTCTGGCTAAGCAACAAACACTCCAAGTGTTTTATGAAGCGCAGAAGTGGGTTTGCTTGTGAGGGTACACGTTTTTGGGCTTGATGGGGTAGCCAAAGAGAGACCAAGGGAATCGAAATGGAAGCCACACATTTTTCGGGCTTCCCAATTTCGAGACACCGTGCCATTCTTCGAATGGACATTGGAGTATTCAATATATAGGACAAGAGATGGCGACCACAAGACGCGGGCCGTTTCTTTTTCGAGGGTACCCCCATCTTTTGCTTGGCTTTCAAGGGAAAGCAATAGGAAACCATCACCACCTTTGGAGCGTTTTTCCCCATGCGCTGGATGCCATCGCCTCGTCTTTTGCGGCGCCCTCCTGCGCCGCTGCCAGGAACTTCCGCAGGTCGTCCCCGGCACCGCCTGGGACGGCGGAGAGAGACGCGGACGCGTTTTTCGTGTTTTGTTTTTTTTGGCGGAAGGAGCGGAGGATGGAACCAAAGTGGTCTACTCAGAGCGCCATGGAAAATGAATCAAAGGCTGAACGTAGACATGCATGGTATGAAGCCCTGGTCTGTTAGGTGTGACTTCATGTATGGGAAATCAGAACCTTTTCGGGGTCCAAAACGGCCATGGGTTCATATAAATGGACCTGTACCATCAGCCTTTGAATGAACTCCAAACTCACCTGACCATGACACGAAATGCTTCGCCTTCGCTTCGGACAGCCTTCCAAATGTGCGGAAAAACAACAAAAATATGGCTGCGGTGATCAAACATAGGGTCACCCCAAAATGGCTTGCCCTGGTAAAGGGACACATGGACTAAAGCCTGCGGGTTTTTGGTGGTTTGACTTTGACCCGCAACCACATGTCATTTGGAAGGAACAGCAATGTTGCCTAGGTCCTTCCGTAGAGAGGCTAGAATAAGGGTACCCTTTTTGTGCAGTCTATTTTAGTAGGGAAACCCTCCCAACCGAAAAAGAAACGGCCAAAGGGCACCCAGCTGGTGGACCTAGTTGACGAAGATTGCGAACCGCTGCCGATGGCTGTGCGTCAAAAATAGGGCAACCCCAAAAGCGCTTGTCCAGGTAAATGCAAACAATGACTAAAACCTGTGGTCCAATTCCTGACCCATACCCAAATCACAACTCAACACACGGCGGGCGCGGCGCGCCTGTGGTTCTCCTCTTGGTGTTGCTCCCAAGCTCTGTTTTTGTCTCGTCGAAGCGCAAGTCCTCAGGTGCCGCGGTCCCAAGGAAAGACATGTGTGGAATGCTGCGACGCAGTCCTTGTGCAATCTGCGCGAGAAACATAGTATGCCTATGAAATTTAATGGGGAACCCCCTGAAAACGTAGCATGCATAGTGATCAGTTGCGAACACCCCCTCGGGCATTCATGTTTCTCCTTTTTTTGGGCGGGGGGGGGGGGGGGGGACCTTCGACAGAAACTCGACACTTGGGATGGCGAAGTGTGATCGCACCGGGGGGGGGCAGTGTTCCTATTCAGCCATCGACCTGGCTAGGAGCATCCACCTGAAACCAGCCACCAGCCACGAGCCATGTGAGCGGGGGTCAAACATGAACTGGGCTGCCCGTTTTCTGATCCCTCTCTAAAAAGTTAACTTTTAGCGGGTTAAATGGACACTGCCACTAGATACTAAAATGCTGAGAAGCTAAGGAACCGGATGGCTGGGAGCCAAGTTGAGAGGACCCTGCACCAGCATGGATGAAGCCCGAGGAACGGGCAAAACCACCCGGGGTACCCTTGGAAGCCCCCCCCCCGCCCCAGAAACCGCTCCAAGGTCCGAGACGCTGCGTTGGACTCGTCGCAAATCTGACGGATGCGTTCACCCTTCCGGCCGATGATGCGGCCAACTAGAGCAGCAGGGACATCAATCCACTCCTGATCCAACCAAGCTGCAAACATAACGACTTGAGGTGTTGTTAGCCCATGATAACAAATCTCTTGCGAAGATTCAACAGCAACTTACGGCAACACATCCACCTTTCCCTGTGAAACCCTGTCACACTTCCACATTGATGCCCCAGAGGCCATGGAAAAAAGGGCATCCTTTTTTGGTTGGTTGAGTTTCAAGGAGAAAAGGAACCCTTCCCAAAAAACAAGGGGAAAAAAAGGGGGGAATCCACTAAGCGGAACCCTTCCCCAAAAATTGGGGGAAAAAGATGCGCCACGGGGCCACTGGGTCCACCCAATCTCTGCAAGACTTCAGCGGCTGCTGACACTGCTGATTGCTCGACCTTTGCGAGACCAACGCGGTCCTCCACCTCGGCCTTCTCGTGCTCGGGGTCCAAGTCCTTGCCCACCTATCCAAGTGATCGATCCACCCCTCGCGTAGGTCTCCTCCATTTTATTTTTGGCCCAGAAAGCGGCGGCCCAAACCGGCGGTTTTTCTGGAAAACACCAGCTAAAAACTCCTTGAAAGGCCCTGCCAAACGAAGCGTGATGAACCACCTTTCCGGCCTCGTGCGGATGTGACTTTCTTCTTCCTCAAAAAGACAATGGGCTCTTGGGAACCCCTGCAGATTAAACCGGCCCCACTGGCCAAAACTCCCTTTTTTGGGGGCTTCCATGATCATGGTGTCCATTTGGGTGCCAATTGTTTGGATTCGGTCCCCAAATTAAAGTTGCTTCGGTGTCCCTTCTGGTTCCCTTGAGGGGAACCAACCTTCCATTTGTTTAAGACCCCCGGAGAAAAAAAAAAAAAAAAAAAAAACATATATATATATATATATATATTAAATAAACAAAACAGTAGTGATGAACTCCTTTTGAAGCCAACAAGGGAAAATCAAAAAAACATATTCCTTTCAGCCAATGACACCCACCGAAGAGACCTTTCGCCTCAGCCCAGCCCGCCTCCTGGTCCACGTCCTTGGTATCCACCATGACCAGCCCCGCCTCGATGCGCGCCACCTGCGAAGCGGCGAGCCGGGGGGGCCAAGGGAAGCGGCTTGAGGCGGCCAAGGGAAGCGGCTGGGCTCTAAGCCTGCGGTTTTTGGGGTGGTTTATATTTTGACCCACCAGATGTCAGGAAGGAACCGCAATGTTGACGAACTGCCATTTGCGTTATCAAAAATGAAGACAACACATGTCCAGTATTGAAATCGATTCCCTTTAAAACCAACAGGGGAAAATACCAAATATTTTTAGGCAAATGGAAGCAAAGGGGGGTTCTCAAACACAAAGTAAGGAGTAGAAGGCATCAAAAGGCGGAGAATCCCACCTCTGTTGCAGCTAAGTGTACCAGTCAAGAGCTTGTCTAACTTGTCCAACATTGTCAAATTTGTGTGCATTTGCATTGACCGGCGGGAAATGACCATCCACCTCAATCATATCTTAATTGCATTGTCTCACCAATGACGCGAAGATGGCGGGATGAAGTGGACGGAAAAGCAAAGCAATATCCTGACATGTCACTTTCTAGGCGACCCCACAATTGTGTTGCTTCCTTCTGGCTTTCCTGTAAAACCACTCCAAAAGGGTATTTAGAAAAGAACAAAAACACACACACCCATATCTATACATAATGTGAAGGATGGTCTATGGACGGTTCCTGGAAACATAAAGGGACACGCCCCTCCAGTGTTGCCAAGAGACTGTTCAAGGGGCTCAAAGCTTTGAGGTGCGTCACGACACCTTGAAAGGAAACCACCCCAGTGTTGGAATGGTTCATTTCACGAACCATTCCAAAAAAAAACTCCTTGAACACCATTCCAACACAAGAAACCGTGGCTTGCTATTTCAAGGCGTCTTGACGCAACAACCAAAACTCTAGGGGAAGCTACCGTCAAACACCCATAAAAAAGCTGGATTTTTGAAAAGAACGATGATGGAAAAGAATGGGCAACCGAAACCCCAGCAAAAACAAAGAAGAAAAACAACGCGGTTTCCTTGAATGAACGCCATTCAACACCATTCCAACACAAAAAAGGCTTGGCTTCCTAGTTTAAGGTGCCTTCACGCAACAAGACCAAAACTGCTTCTCTCTTTCTTTCTCGATCGACCGAAATGGCCCTTCGACTGCCTTCACGAAGCACTTCTCCCCGATCTTCAGCTTCTGCTCCGGCCGTCGCAGCAGACCATCCAGGTAGCCTCGAACCCGAGGCTAGAGCCCTCGAGCCCCGGCGCTGGGCGTTTGGAGCCCTGCAAATCTTTGGGGCTCGGTTGCCAACATCTTGGCTGGGAACAAAGGTGCCCGTGTTGGATAATAGATGGGCCCTGGTGGATGATTCAACTAAGAAAACTTTGGTTTTGAACATAGGCGTCCTTGATGGAAAATGGATCCCTGGTAGATGATTGGACTAAGTAAACCAGGGATCGCCCCCTATTTCTCAACCTAACCAACCAAAAGTTCACCTTTTTTGGTCGGATGAAATCCCAAGCTTCGCTTTTCTCCGCGACAAGTCACCGGGGGAAAAATGAACTCTGGCCTTCAGAAGCCCCCAGCGTAGAGATCTTACTTGGAAAGCCAGCCTTAAGTGGGTTGCGAACATGGCCACAAGTCAATTTACAATTCAAGGCCTTTAAACATGTTTTAAAATGCTTAGAAATGCTTAGAAATGTTTAGAAATGTTTAGAATGAATCAACCCATGTTGTCTCACTTGTGAGTTTGGTTCTAAGCTACTTAGAAAAGTACATTCAACTTCCAAGTGCATCTTTGCTCCATGCTGGAATTCCAAATTGGGACACCCCTATTGCTAACTGATTGGTGAGGGTCGCGTTTTTTGGCAACTGAAGCCGCAACCAGGCAAGAACGGGCATTCCTTCCACGCATTCTAAGCCTTTTAGGCGAGCTTCAAGCAAGGCTTTGAAAGGCTATCTACGCGGCTGTGACTGACATGGAACCCCGAAAGGCTCCCCTTGTTAGGGTTCTTCATTTGGGTTCTTAAATCCGGATTCTGTGGGTTCAATGCCTTCTATTTGGTTAAGACCCCCGCCAAAAATAACAATATGTCCAGTAGTGATAGTTTCCTTTAAAACCAACATGGGAAAATAAAAAAGTTCTTAAGCAAATGGAAGTTGCGAATCTGCCGGTTGTTTGAACATCAATTGATTTCAATTTGGCCTTCCCCAGTTCGTGGAAGGTCCAGGAGTTGCAGTGGACACTTTTCCTGGATCAACCGATTTAGACAACACTACCCCCAAGAAGCGCCTCGACGGCCGGGGTTTCTTCCTTTCTACCTCATAAGATTGGCATACCCTCCTTTGTTGCGAACGGGGGAACAGCCGCCCATTTTGTCCAGAAGGACCCCCAAAGACGGGCCCCTCTCCGTTTGGCACCGAAAAAGCTCGCCTTAAATGGGACGGGGCACGCACGCTTCTCTGGTCGCTGAGCCGAAGCAGCGCGCCCTTGGGAGTAAGCATTTGCACTTCTCCTGCGACTTTTCGCCAGGATAGTATCCTTCAGACGCCCGTTTTGGTTGTTCCAAGGTAGACTTAAACCCAGAAGTTTCCCTTTTGGGGAAATCAAACACCCCTGGGTTTAAGTCGACTTTGGGGTAGTCAAAACGGAACCCTGCCCCGAAAAAGACGTTCATCTTCCAAAGGGGGGGGGAGAAATGCGCGGTGATTGTTTGGGATGCAGGATACAGCTCTGGCACCCTTGGCGTAGAGTTTCCGATCGGCTACGCAAGTGGGGCCAGTAACCCTGTTGTGAGTCCACTACAGTAAGTCTTTGCAACCAGTGGGACTAGCCACTTGACAAGTAGCCTGCCTCTTGATGAATGTGTGTCTGTATACATAATGGCTGCATCTGCATCATATTAAGCTTCCAGATCTTTTGTGGCGAGTATTGCTTTTTGCAGGGCCCTATCCATCTGTGTCGTGCAGAGTTATTGCTTGGATAGTAGCCACACGCTTCATCAGGATTCATAGTTTGGTTTTCGCTAGCTAGCAATCAGCGCTGACAGAACAGTAGCCTTGGCGCGGCAAGTATCGCACGTTTGTGTGCTACACCCAGCGACAGAAGTACATGCTTGGCGGATATCACTTTTGGAGGGCTCTACAGCGTTTTCGCAATCTTGCCAAACATGGAGCAACCTGTACACAAACCCTTTATGCGGGAGAAACATGCCATGCCTGATGTGTTTTGTTGTATATATATATACAAATATGTAGATATGCTCTACATGATGAAACAAGTACTCGCACATACTCACGTGCAATGTACATCACCGCAATGATGTGTTGCTTTGGCATACATGCTTCACTTGCTTTTCGATGGCTTCGCTTCTCATGACATGGGACCCTTCGGTGCACACCAAAACTCGGTCCACCTGCCGCTTTTGAAGCGGTGGTTCCCTACACACCTTGCCGGTGCCAAGTTCCTGGACCTCTCACATGACACCGATGGGCAAGAAATGTTTGGAACCTCGGCAAGCCAGCTCCTAGGGAAAGAACAAATACAATATATGAGCATCTGGGACCTGACTTGAAGTACGTTCAATTCAGCAATCGCATCCCACAAGTGAACGTAACACTTCTGACGAAAGGACCCCGGACCTGGTAACTCCTGCCAAAACATGTTTCATGTGCCATTCAGGAGATACGGATACTGACTAAGAACTGACCCTGCTTTGCTTTTGGCGAGTGGAAGCAAGCACTGAGTGGTTGCCGAATGATTTACTTGTTCAACCAACCCGAGACAGGTTGCCTTAACAAGGAACCACCGCAACATGCCTTCCCAAACCAACAGTGGACTACCAGGAATCTTGTCCACAGAAGATTGCCAGCCACACCTGTGAGCACGCTGTGCAGCGTGGGGATCATTGGCGCTTCTTCTGGAACGATCGATGGGCCTCTCAGGCTTGCTATGTAGGAAAAAACCAACCAAAGAAGAACAAAAACAATCAAAGGCAGGAAAAAAGGAAGAAAGGAAGGAAGGAAGGAAGGAAGGAAGGAAGGAAGGAAGGAAGGAAGGAAGGAAGGAAGGAGCGAGCAAGCAAGCAAGCAAGCAAGCAAGCCATCAATCAAGCAAGCACGCTCATGCAGCTCCCTTGCACCTGAAGAGTCAACAGTTGACACATTGATATTGTTGCGGAACGCTGTCAACAAGGCGGCACTCTTTACTTGGCGACAAAAAACCATTCCAGGGCTTGGCTTCTGACCTCCCAACAAATTACTGCGCCGTCCAATGAATTGCCCTCGTGAGTTGAAACTCTTCAAACTGGCTACTAGGACTCCGGAAGCTTTCCAAATCCCCTGCGCCATGCTGCGCCATGCTGCGCCATGTCCATGGATCCGTATTCTATGGCATTCCCCTTTTCCCACATGCAAGTCAAAAGATGGGGTGAAAAGAGTTGGGCGCACCCACTGATGAGTGCGTCTTGGATTTTAGAAATCAGGCTGGCGTCACTCACGCTTCCCATTCATTGCCTTAGGGCCTATTCATGAGCGCTGGGTAAACACGGCTGGCCACATAAACTGTGGCATGGGGAGCCAAAGCCCGTTGACTTTCAGTTCTTGTAAGCAAACGTGGTGCTTTCAGAAGGGGCTGCCTTCTAAATAGCTGCGTGTCAAGTTGTATTCTTCTCATCAGCACTTCACAACTGAGGCATGTGGAGAGGGAAAGCGAAATGCACCACTGCCATTCACACACATGCGCTCGCTCGCGCGCTGGTTCGCCATGCGCCGCCTTCCAACTTCGGCACCCCTTCCCATGAGGGGTCTCAAGATACCCCAAGCGATTCCTCCATTTGCTTTTTCGCCCCCGGAAAAAAATGAAAATAATTCCAGTAGTGAAATCAATTCCCTTTCAAACCAACAGCAAAATAAAACATATTCTTTTCAGCAAATGGAAGCCAAGATTGCCCCCCAAGAGAAAAAAACAAAACTGGTTTGGAATTCCATGGAGTTCCTTCCCTTCTTAAAAAATAATATTCTTCACCAAATGGACGGGTTCCCCCGAGAGATTCCCCCCCGCCTGACGGAGTGAAGATGTTCTTCTGCGGCAAACTTTGTGCCGCGAGGTGTGGCATCGGCATCGACGGCATCGGCATCGACGGCATCGGCATCGGCATGAAGCCGCCGCCGCCGTAGCCCCCGTAGCCGCCGTAGGCGCCGTAGCCGGCGCCATAGCCCCCGTAGCCATAGGGCCTCAGCGATGCGAGCAAACCTGCGGCCCGTTCTGGACTTTAACAGAACCGGGGGGCAAAGCAGTATGACAGTAGCAAAGGATTCATGTTCCAGGTCAGCACGCATGGGCCAAAGTAAAACCAGACAAAAATCCCGTTTCAAGGGCCTGTGACACTTTGAAAGTACCTCAGCTGGACAGAACCACATTCAGCTGAGACAACAAAACAAAACAACGCCACGGTGTGTCGCTGGCGTAAAGCGCGGTGGGTGCCTGTCCTTTAAAACTGTAGCGGTCATAGGTGTCCTTTTAGGGGAAATGGATAGGTGTCCCTGGTAGATGATTAAACCACCAGGTCACCAGGTAAACCAGGAATCGAAACCCGTCGATTTCTCTACCAAAACAACCAAAAAGGACCCCCTATGGTAGCGGTCCACCTTGCACCCCCGAGCTGCGCAAGTGAGGACAAACCAATGCCTCGGAGACCGGACGGGAACTCCAGGGGTACCCTGCCAAAAGCGGAAAGAGTTGGCTCCAGATTGGCATAGCCGAACTTAGGCTGTCAGGAGGCTACTATGAAAACGGATAGACACTCAAGACCTTCTCACTGTCTCAGAAGGGTACGAGGGTTGCGCACAGCCGTTTTATATACCACTTGGGCTACTTGCCCAAGTGGACTTGCTGTTGTTCATACCGCTTTGTGTAAGGGAGACATTCCCAATAAGTACTCCGGTATGAAGGCTTGAAAAAACAAAAGGATGGTCACAAGAGGGAAATGTAAATGAATTCGCTGCTGGAAAGCCGCATGTTCTGGGATGCGCTCGCATCGCGCCGCCGGTCTTTGACCTTCCTCGGTAAGGACTCAACTCAAGGATCTTAGGTCGATGATTCACCCAAGGATTGCACAAATGTTCTACTACCGTATTATTGCAGGGGCACGGGACTTCCCCTATACAAAAGGGATTACACCGTATCATTGCAGGTGTCACCAGACTTCCCCTATACAAAAGTTGCACCATTTCCTGGTGTCCAGTGAATCTGCCACTTCCGGAGGTCGAAAAAGGGAAATTGAGGGGCCCTGTCATTCTTGAACGTTGAGATGGTGCAGTCCGCAACTCCCCGGAGTTGCTCACTGGCGTTCAAACAAAGAACTTGCACTCAAACATTTCTTGGAGCGCTCTCAAAGAAATCCAACTGAAGTTGGCTGATGCAGCGGCAAAGACTTCAAGTGCTTCAAGTACAAATCTGCAAGGTTGGTGCACTGAGCGAATATACCCACCTCTATGCTTCCGCAGGGTTCATGTGGTTCCATGCAATATGTTCACCCTGCTTCTGATGCAAATGTTCGTGAAATGTGCGATCACAGCTACAATGATTGCTTTGAACGGCAAACATGACATTTGGAGTACACTGCGAACGTCCGTTCAGCGAGTATCAGCTTTTTCGCGCCATGAACTGTTCACAGCCACTGCCCTCGAGGATGTCACATCAGCAAAGTGGCACATGCTTCGGCGTCACAGAAGCATCTGGAGGGTGCACTTTGTGTGGATGCATCAAGGATAGCCGCAGGAAAGACAAAGCTCATGTTGGGTGAGTCCATTCTATAAAAACTGGCTGTCTTCTTTTGAGTTTGTTCTTCTTTGTGGGCTGGCGGAAATCAACAAAAGCACCTGCGGGGCTCCTTTTGGGACAGTCCCATATTTCCCATATTTCACACCCAAACACCAGGGGCCATTTTCGATGCAGAGCGAGCGGCTTGGCATCTGAAGAGCCTGGCACAAAGGCAGCAACCTGGTGGCCTTAGGGAAACCGTTTCAAACGGCCCCATCTCTACTCTTGGTATGGTAGCAAAAAACTGTGTTTTTTTGCAGACCCCCAGTAAAAATGAACAGAACCAAAAAACTAAAAAAAAAAAAAAAACACTTCCAAGAACAGCGAAGGGCCCGATGTTGAGAACCCACATAGAAAAGGGGTTTGGATGCGCCAACATATTCCTAAAAGGACCCATTGGGGGGACGAAGGGACCCGTTCTGGTGTCTCCTGCGAAGGACGAGCCATCTGCTTGCCGAGGGATCCGCCTTGACACGAGTGCCAAATATCCCACAGTGGTCGAGCCTGCCCCTGCTGAACTCTCAATAGGTGTGCATTGTTCAGGGCATCTGTGAATCTGGAAGAAACCAAACGAAAAGCAACCAGTTTCGGGTCCAAATCCTCATTTGGGGGCAACCCCCTTTGGGAGAAGCACGCACATGTACGAAAGGCAGCATATAGTTTGCACGCCGCGAGGCAGCTACGTGAGTTTGAAACAAAAACTACATCCCCTCAAAGGACGTGGGCAATTTGGATGGCCCCCGCATGCCCCTCCAAAATGAACGATCTAAAAATCCACGCAGAAAGATTCTGAGCCGAGCCTTCTTTGTGCTTCTTCTTCTTTTTCTTCTCCTGGCAGGCCGGATTTTGCCTCAGAAAAAGAACCTGGGCTCATCTCCCATGGTCCGGAACGAAGAACGGACTTCCCGTGCTCACGAGTCCGCGAAAGAGGCGATGTGCTGTTTGAAGGATCTGCTGGTCTTCCGGAAGCATGGCGCAGGCACGGTAGCTATTTTGACTTCTTGGCGTTCCCCCTCCCATTTCAGACCAGTGGAGAAACTCGAAGCAACTTGAGGTTCGAGCCACAAGCTCCCCGGAACCCGTTCGCCGTATCGGGGCCTTGCTTTTCTCTCACCCAGTTCGAGTATCGCCCCCCGCCTTTTATTCGCCGCGCATGCCGGAAAAGCTCCCTCCGGCCTTCTTCTCATCGGGCCGGTCTTTCCCTGAGAATCCACTTAGCTGCCCCAGACAGATTGGTCAAGGTGTTGGCCCGAATGAATTCAGATGGCGCCATAAACACAAAGAACCCGGGGTCGCCCGAAAACCTTTCAGGAGATGCTTGAAGACTGAAACGCCCTGAAACGGCGCCTGCAAAGGATGGCCTGAAAAGTAACAATCGCGATTGACCAAAACGGTTGCAAAAGAACTGGAACCCTGAAATTGCCGACTTTCAGTGGGGTTTCCCCACCAAACAAAGGGCAAAGGTTGCCACTGAGCAACTGGCAACTCACAAAGCGAACGAAAAAAAACCCAGAGCTGCCAAGACCCAGAAGCGAGCTTCGGAAACCGGGGAGGCAAGACCTTCAGCTTTTGATTTCAGGCCGCTCCAACCGTTTGCTGGGAACCACATCTCTTCACAATGCAGCCAGGCGTACATCCAAAGGTCAGCCAAGCCAAAATCACGCGATTCAAGCTTTCCCTAAATTTTGGCCCCGCCCTTTGCCCTCTACCAAAGCCAAGGACAGGTTCAGAACAAAATCCAAAGCACCAATCCAAAGCACCAATCCAAACCACCAATCCCAACCACCTATTCGGGGCTACCCGATCTCTCGTGCGGGAAAAAAACCACCACACCCAGCTAGTACCAGATCTCTCGTGCCCCGCGGTCGGCCCAAGAGTTGCAACCCGATTTGACTCAACACGAACAGCGCATTGACGTTTGAAGGCTCATGGGTTCGTCACACATCCTGGCCAAAATATACGTCATTTTGGACAACTCGATTCGTCGATTGCACTGGCAAATGATTAGAATAGGGAAACCAATGCCATCTATGTTCAAACAAACTATCCCAAGAAGGATGGACCTATGCAGAAAGCTCTCTCAAAGGAACACATGCTTTGCCAGCCGGAATCACGGCTTCACTGGCTTCACTGGCTTCACTGGCTTCACTGGCTTCACTGGCTTCACTGGCTTCACTGGCTTCACTGGCTTTTGCCGTGCTGTGAAGCCTGCTAGACTCTTCCGCTGCCGCTTTGCCGGCGAAGACTTCCGACAGCCGCGAGCCGCGAGCCTCTCCGTCGCTTCACCGGCGGAGAGGGCGACGGCGTCTTCAGGCGCAGCGCCTCTGCCTCGCAGATCGGCAGAGCGAGACGGCTATGGGGGCCATGGGAGCTATGGGGGCGGGGGCCATCCCCCTTGAAGCCCAGCAGAAGCCAAGAATAAGCCAAGGCCAAGCCCTTCATACGGCCTTATCAAGGGGTTGATAGGGGCCTGATAGCCTGGGGGTCCATGGAACAAGACCTGTGCTTTTCCCTGAAAAATATCACCAGAAACCGATAGGTTCCCGCAACCTAGAATCGCATCTCGTTTGTCTCAGGCTCAACGGTGCTGGCAACTCCACTCAGCGAATCCAGTAATGTCAATGCCCTCAGCCACATGTGGCTGTGGGTCAAAACCAATGGTATACCATTTTAACATAGTTCTGTTTTAGTGGGGATTGGGATGTTCACTGGGGGTACGGGATTTTAACCCATGGCAATGTAAATCCAGATTCTCCTCACTGGCTACCTACTGATTTGCAAATGGAGAAGCCATAGCATGGGCTGCGGAAAGACCACATCAGGACTGACCTTTGAAGTCAACTTAAACAACCACCAGCCGAATTCTTAAAAAAACCTTCAAAATGCTCACTTTACTGGGCCCGGTCCATCTGTGAAAAAGCCAACAGAAATCTGGGGCAGAAATGGATTATCGTCCAAAAGCGCGTGCTCTTTCGGTGGGTGTGTTTCATGGAACCCCCCATCCTAACTCAATTTCAGAGGTCAAGCACCATCCCCAACACCATTTCAGAGGTCAAAAACCCATTTCAGAGGTCAAGAACCATCCCAAACACCATTTCAGAGGTCAAGAACCATCCCAAACACCATTTCAGAGGTCAAAACACCATTTCAGAGGTCAAGAACTATCCCAAACACAATTTCAGAGGACAAGAACCATCCCAAACACCATTTCAGAGGTCAAGAACCATCCCAAACACCATTTCAGAGGTCAAGAACCATCCCAAACACCATTTCAGAGGTCAAGAACCATCCCAAACACCATTTCAGAGGTCAAGAACCATCACCATTTCAGAGGTCAAAAACCCATTTCAGAGGTCAAGAACCATCCCAAACACCATTTCAGAGGTCAAGAACCATCCCAAACACCATTTCAGAGGTCAAGAACCATCCCAAACACCATTTCAGAGGTCAAGAACCATCCCAAACACCATTTCAGAGGTCAAGAACCATCCCAAACACCATTTCAGAGGTCAAGAACCATCCCAAACACCATTTCAGAGGTCAAAAACCCATTTCAAGAACCATCCCAAACACCATTTCAGAGGTCAAGAACCATCCCAAACACCATTCAGAGGTCAAGAACCAACCCAAACACCATTCAAGGTCAAGAACCATCCCAAACACCATTTCAGAGGTCAAGAACCATCCCAAACACCATTTCAGAGGTCAAGAACCATCCCAAACACCATTTCAGAGGTCAAGAACTATCCCAAACACCATTTCAGAGGTCAAGAACCATCCCAAACACCATTTCAGAGGTCAAAAACCCATTTCAGAGGTCAAGAACCATCCCAAACACCATTTCAGAGGTCAAGAACCATCCCAAACACCATTTCAGAGGTCAAGAACCATCCCAAACACCATTTCAGAGGTCAAGAACCATCCCAAACACCATTTCAGAGGTCAAGAACCATCCCAAACACCATTTCAGAGGTCAAGAACCATCCCAAACACCATTTCAGAGGTCAAAACACCATTTCAGAGGTCAAGAACTATCCCAAACACAATTTCAGAGGACAAGAACCATCCCAAACACCATTTCAGAGGTCAAGAACCATCCCAAACACCATTTCAGAGGTCAAGAACCATCCCAAACACCATTTCAGAGGTCAAGAACCATCCCAAACACGGTTCAGAACCATCCCAAACACGGTTCAGAACCATCCCAAACACGGTTCAGAACCATCCCAAACACGGTTCAGAACCATCCCAAACACGGTTCAGAACCATCCCGAACACAATTTCAGAGGTCACAGCGCTGTCAGGCCTCATCGTATTGATTCAGCGCTGCCAAGTCCTCCGAGCCCCCCATGAACTTGGGGCCGTCTCATGGGAAACCTCCAGGTCGTTTGTTTTGGCTTGCTGCAACCCAAAAGGCCCGCAACAAAAACAGATGGAAGATTGTGTCCTTCCTTCCCTCCCCCCCTCAGGATTCAGCTGATGTGCTTTGGCAAACCCTCGCAAGGTGGACCTGAGATTTGTCCCGGTTTGCGGGCGCCCTCAATGTCCCAAGTAGGTGAATAAGGGAAACCCAGTACGCCGCAGTTTGCCAGGGTTTCGTGGTTGGGCGCGGTTCGTTACATGCAATATTGTTGAGAATCCACCGTCATGATCAAGGCCAAGTGCACAAGGACCGGACGGCTGGGAACCCCCAAGCGTTGAACCGTTCGAAACTGATCAGGGCTGCGGGAAATGGAATCCACTTCTGAAAGGGCAAGCCCCCAAGACGAACCCTCGATATAAAACGGGAAATTCCCAAAAGTATCACAGCAGTGGTTGAATAAACCCCGAGTGATCAACCACAACCCTGAAACTGAAACACATCCCGCTGCGCTCTGAAAACGTACCTTGCGCATCCACTCGGCGCGCCTCTCGTGGCGCAGGCCGCTTGCGGGGCATGGCGAGGACAAAGCTGCGCCGCTTGCCCTGGCTGGGGGAGCCAGAGGCCTCCCGGCCTCTTGCCGTTGCTTTTGCTTGTTGGCAGGTCTTGTGCTAAAACTACCCGGGATGGGAAACAACACCTTGACACCAAACACCTCAAACCTCGTCTTTCTTTGCTTGTGAGGCACATTCATCAGTTCCTTCACGCAAAGCTGCAACGCAGCGATGAAGGCGTGCTTTCCTTTGAGCCTTCCGAGAAGCTGGGCGGGTCGCCTTTGCCTTGGGACTTGGTTTCAAATACCTTAGCAGCGTCGTCCGCTAAGCCTTAGCTAAAACCACAAGGCGCTGTTTCTCCCGTGAGACACGTTGTGTTCAACACCGGCAGCACAGCCGACTGCAAGCGCTTTCCAACCCCTTTTTTTTCCGCACCCAGCACGCTGTTGCAGGCTGGGAGTGATGAAACGCACGCAGCGCGCATTTCAAAGCTTGGGCTGGGACTCATTGAAACATCCAGCACCGACGGGTTCTCTGTTTTCAAAAAGCGCATCTTTGGCGTAGCGCGTAGCACCACGGCGCCCACACCACGGCGCCCACACCCCGGCGGCTCTCAGCCAAATGTCCTCGGGCTGAAAAGGCACGGGAGGGGAAAAGGCAGTGGGAAGCTTCTTGGGAAAAAGAAGTAGGTTCTTAACCCACACTTGCAAGTCATGGTGACATCAGTTTCACCAATTCTTGAAATCCCTGTGGGTTCTATGGCGGTTCCCCTGACCAAGGTTGAACATCCAACATCACGCCTCTCGAGCGCCTCCAGGCCCGCCTTGTTGGCAAACCGCGGGCTCGCAGCCGAGAGCAAACCTAAACAAAGTCGCAGGCCAAAGCTGGTGGAACTTTGTCTGCGCATGGTGTGCGCGTGTGTGTGTGTGTGTGTGGTGGGTGTGTGTGTGTGTGTGCGTGTGTGTGTGGTGGGTGTGTGTGTGTGTGTGTGTGTGTGTGTGTGTGTGTGTGTGTGTGTGTGTGTGTGTGTGTGTGTGTGTTGTGTGTGTGTGCGTGTGTGCGTGTGTGTGGTGTGTGTGTGTGTGGTGTGTGTGTGTGTGGTGTGTGTGTGTGTGGTGGGGTGTGTGTGTGTGTGTGTGGTGGGGTGTGTGTGTGTGTGTGGTGGGGTGTGTGTGTGTGTGTGGTGGGGTGTGTGTGTGTGTGGTGGGGTGTGTGTGTGTGTGTGGTGGGGTGTGTGTGTGTGTGGTGGGGTGTGTGTGTGTGTGTGTGTGTGTGTTGGGGTGTGTGTGTGTGTGTGTGTGTGTGTGTGTGTGTGTGTGTGTGTGTGTGTGTGTGTGTGTGTGTGTGTGTGTGTGTGTGTGTGTGTGTGTGTGTGTGTGTGTGTGTGTGTGTGTGTGTGTGTGTGTGTGTGTGTGTGTGTGTGTGGTGGTGTGTGTGTGTGTGTG